GCTCAGGGTGACCCAGCTCCAGTTTCAGAGAGGAGCAGGATGATCAGGAAGACTGACATTACTGAGAGCAGCTGTGAACACAGAGCAGCAAGAAACAGTTTGCTAATTATTTCACAGGTCTTTTTTTAAAATGACACTCCGTTCTTCGGATTAAAGAACCTCAGAGTGCTTTACAAATCTGAGTTCCCAGTGGCTCCCTTGGGAAGGAAGGAAATGCTATCCCTTTTGCTGAAAGATCAGGGAGTTAAGTGGGCTGCTCTGAGCCACCGCCAGCGATGGGCAGGAGCTTTGCCTTCCAGGCGCCTGCTCTAATCACAGATCTAAGGAACATAATCAAACTGTACCGCACACCAAGAGGCAGCAAGGAAAACAGGCAGGGCCCCAAAGAAGGAGAACCGAGTAAACGGGGCGAAGAGCAAAGCTCTGAAAACTCGCATCTGCATGGTTCTTGGTCTAGCGGCAGGAATGCTGCGGGCCGGGCAGGAAACTGCAGTGGAAGTCATTCCAATGGCATTTCCTGGACAGCAGTGCAGAAAAGCCTCCCAGGTCGCAGGCAGGCAAGAAGCTGCCAGGGATCTGCACGCTGAGCCCAGATCTCCAGCCGCCAGTGAGGATACAACTACCTGGGACGGCTGTGCCAGGCAGGACAGCCTGAGCCAAGACCCTGCCGGCAGTGACCGTCAGGCAGGCAGTTCCACAGCCAGAGGAACACCTAGTACTGCAAAGGGACCCGAGGGGACTCAGCTGGCAGGAGGAGAGTATTTTTTTCATCCCAAGCAGGTGATGACAATGGGGGCACCGTCTCAGCTGCAAGGAATCCAGACTGTAAAATAATTACAGAGGACAAAGTGGAAAGCGATAGCCCAGCTAAGCTTTGCAGACCACTGGCTGGGATTCATCTCTAAGACAGCAAAGCACGGCCTTGGCTATCCACAGTCACTTCCTACAGCCAGCTCTGCTGCGTGTTGGCCAGCAAGTGAAACTGATGGCTGCAATCTTCAACAGGATTAGCCGCGCCAGGGCATCCCCGAAACCCAATGTGTTAACACTCAAAACAACGAAGCTTTGGCAAACAGCGCTCACCCCAGAGGGAGCTGCGTTCCCCGTATGGTACAATGCGCAGCCGTGCCTCTTCCACGCGTGCCGCGCACATCTAGCACGGCGCTGCTCTCCGAGTCTCAGGGCACAACAGCAGCAGAATTCAAACTTGCACTTATCTCACACTGCCCCAAAAGCTCGGATTGAGAAGGCATCAGGATCCTGTAGCAACCAGGATCAGCTAGGTAACGTGGTGGTTGCAGGGAAGGCTTGTGTGGGATACCTGGGCAATGGAACAAGGCCAAAAAGCATTTCTGAAGGGCTGAGAATCAAAGTCTAGCTCTCAACCTGAAACCATTGAGAAGGTTGGAGCAAGAGCACAGGATGAAATCCCAGCTGTGCTCTGTCATATGACACAGGCTGAGTCATTTCCTATCATTCAAGAAAAAATTAAAAAGATAGCAAATGAGCTTGCTATATTGACATCTTCTAAGGGATTTCCCCAGACAGAACCACAAGCTTCCAGTCCACCGCAGAGCAACACAACATGTATGTCCCAGCACACCGAGCCCTGCATGGCCAGGGCCGGCTGAGAGCCTGGGGCGCACAGAGCCAACACGGGAAGTAGTCCTTCCTCCTTCAGCCTAGCCCACCTTGTCGGGATTCAGATGTCACAGACTGGTGACAAAGATGCCGTTTGCTTTCAGTCCTGGCCTGACACAGCCCCTTCATGCTGGTCCCCACCATACGCCCTGCAAACAGGAAACCTCTTGCCTCTATGTCCACAGATGTACCTCCACATCCCCACAGAACACCCTCTTTAAATCCCACTCTGAGTATATATTTAGCCTCGAAGGAAAACCTGTCATCCACTGGAGGCTCACAGCCAGGCAGGAACTACCGCTCACTTTCCTTTCTCAAACAGATTAAGCATGGTCAGTACACCTCTGCCTGCCAGGCTCTCTCCTGCTCACCCTGTGCTTCCCCCTCCTGCATTGCCACTCACCAATTTCTCCCGCAAGGACTCCCGATCTCCACTGGGATCACTGTTTGAACTTCACAGCTAGTGGAATCTGGTCCTGGCCAAAGCAACTGCCCCAGGAAAGCCTCCTCCTTGGTTCTGATGGCTCACCAAGGCAGCAGCTCTCTTCTGGCTGGTTATTAAATGCCCCCCTTGGGTTCTTCTTGTTTGTTTGTTTTCTCACTGCCAGATTGCGAAGGGGAGGGCAAACCAAGGCAAGGCCAAGTAAACCTGACAAAATACACCCAAGTTACCACTATGTAGCAAGATTTACCATTTCCCCCTTGCCTCAAAGAATGCTTTCTCAAGAAAACTGCTACAGCCCAGCACACAGCAGCCTTAACAGGCACCTCCAAAGGCAACCTGCACCCCGTGGCCATCCTACGCTTATCTTTGTTCCACTGGTGGGGAATGAAACAGAGCTTCCTACACAACCAGGCTGTGTGTGACACTTGTGATGGAGCCACGCTCCTTCCGTCTTTCAGAGGGGCTTTCCAGGAAGAGAAGTACTGCAGTGCTCCAAAACACAAACCACCTGGTCCTTGCCAAGCAGGCCTGCCAGAACTTGCATCCCTCTCACCAGGATCTGCTTGCTGCACCTCTCAGGAGAGCTTTGTTTGCATGGGACAGGCTCTAACAGCTCAGATGCACCAAACAGGCTCCCTGTGCAAACAGGACGGCAGGAGAGGGACCGCTCTGTCACAGCAAGTGCAGGGTGGCACTCTCTTCGTGCAGAGAGAGCTGGCAGCAGGCCAACAGTTTTCTCCCTGCTGCTGGAGCTGCATGAGAGCAAAGCAGAGCATCCCCACGCGCACCCCATGCGTGAAGCACTCAGGAGCTCTTATGGCCCCTGTGCTGCCGCTGCACCGTGTGATCCCTTTGCATGGAGCGGCACAGCTGCCCCCCCACCAGAAGGGACACAGTGAAACCTGAGTGCGGAGGAAAGCTACAGCTGAGACATCAAACAAGCACCGGGTTGGGGGTTGCAACAGGCTGGCAGCAGCCACACTGCCCAGCCCTTTTTTGGAGGCTGGTGGGGTGGACCCCCCCACTATGGCCTTTACCACCCTGCCCCACTCCCCTTCAGCTACCGGCACAGCCCAGGCAGCAGCACAGCCTAAGCAGTGAAGTTAGAAGCCCCGTTCAAGGTTAAAAGAAGAGAGCAAGGCTGTTCCCCTGGATGGGAAACACAGCTAATGGCGATCTCCAAAGGAAAAGCTGGTGGGCGGGTCAGATAGAGAGGAGTCCTGGGCCTTCCACAATCTGTTGAACAAATATTTGCTCCAAACAATTAATTTAGAGAGAGACACAAAAAAATTGAGGAGTCTGAATCGTGATGGTTGGGGGTGGGGAACAGAAGGAGGAGGCATTTCATTCCCCGCAAGCAGGGACCAGTGATTTTCCACCAGTGATTTAATCTAAATCCCCCAGAGAGTTCATTTACAAAAAATCAGATTGCATTATCGCCTAGGTCTCCAGGATACAGCCCAATCCGTCACTAACAGCAACAGCCACACTAGCTTGGAAACCTCAATTTGATCACTCAATTCCAAGACTAATCTGTGGCTTTAAAAGCCAAAGTCAGAGGGGAGGGGGAAGGAACTCAGCATTTGGCCAGGGTTATCTGCAGGATGAGAGAGCTAATGGGCCAGATACAGCCTGATGAAATGGCCAGCAGATCCCGGGTTATTAACCGAAACCAAGCTCCTCTGCCTGAGCAACCCCGCCCAGGCAGTGCCCCAGGGCGGCCACATTCCTGGAATTCCTGCACCCTGGGTGAACCCGATCCCTCTCCCTGAGTGTACAAGTTCCCCCCTCTTCTCCAGGATCCCCAGCATTGCCAGTGAGGCGAGGAGCTGGGGAGCTCCATGGAGCTCCTGTGCCTCTCCTCTGTCAGGAGGGTGCAGAGCATAGCACTGGGCTCAAAGGTTCCTGCACCCTCCTCAAGATAGAGGGGCCTGCTGATGGACTATGAGATGAACAGGGCTGAAAGGCTTTAGCTCACCAGCATGCCAAGGAGGCAATTCCCCACTGTTTAGATGCTAACGACTGACAGCATGAACTCTTTCCAGTGGACACCAGTAAAGGTTACACCAGCAGGGAATCACTAAGATGCAGAGGCAAAAAGAAAACTCAGACATCTGTAGGTCATATACCTCCCACTGGCAGTCCCAGGCAGCACCGCACAGCTGGACCCGGCATCTCAAGAATGTTTCCTGAAGAAACGCTTATTCATGTTAATACCTCACCACTGAAAGCTCACAGGGTTTTTTGCTGGGGCAGCTGGAAGCATTGCTCCCTGCCAAGCAAGAAGCAGCTGCAGGTTTAGCAGTTCCCCAGCACAGAGGTTGCCCCAACCTCAGCCCTGGCTCCCACTGCACCAGCTCAGACAGGCCCAGCAGCCCACCCACCCACCCACCTGGATCTGCTGCACGATTCGCTTCACCGTGACCACGGCAGAAGGCAAAGTCCTGTCTCCAGAATGAAGAAGTAGCTATTACCCTAGCAGACCGCAGGCTGGCCCACCGGAGCACTGCACGCTTGGAGAGGAGGAAGCTCCACTCCCTGCTGTTAAATGACACCAGGGACATGCCTGAAAGCAAGGGCTCCTGTTTGAAGATCAAGCTTGGATGACATTAGATTTCCAAAGGCTCTTGGAAAACACGTCTTTTATGTAACATCCAGGGAAAAGAAGAAACAAGGATAGAGAAGGACTTGTCTGAGCATAAACCGTGTCATCGCAATGGACTGACCCTCTTGGGGCAGAGCGTTAAGAGCACAGAGGGAAAGGCCACATGCCCCTTTATCTCCCTACAAGGTCTAGGACATGCGCTAGCATAAACATTGCAGGGAGCTGCGCTCCGGTATGACCGGCACTACTGCCGGCCTGCAGCAAGGGAGGACGCAGGCAGCCATCCCCACCGGGGAGAGGAGTTCTTACCCATCCGCCATTCTCCTGGATCCAGGGATCTAGGTGGTCGGTCAAGTACGTGGTCATCCAAGATACAACGCGTCCCACCAATACCCGCATCTCCTTGTCAACGCTCTCGACACACAAGGCTCCTCCGAAGGAGAAGAAAGCCACGATGCGACCCCAGTTCACTCCATCACGGAAGAGTTCATTCACTACCTGCTCAAAGCTCTGATACGCCGTGCCAGGGGTGATGTGGAGCTGGGAAGTGAGGTCGCTGAAAGCCCGCCGGTACCTCAACTCAAACTCATCCCCTGCCTCTCTCAACGCCTGCCTCACATCAGCTGTTTGAACGATTTCATGGACTTCGAGGCTGCTCCGGTGCATGGCGGCTCCGTTCACTACGTGGCTGGCGGGCGGGTGCCAGGAGGGGCTCCCGTTGAGGACGCCGTCCATCTCGGCCTCCTCTGCTGCAAAGTCAGTCCTGTTCTCATCCTCCTCCTCCAGCTGACTCCAGCTGTATCCCTTCTGTGAGAGCTTGTAGGAAACAAAGTCAATCACTAACTCCCGATTACTGCTGGACATTTTCACACCTGGGACACCCTCAATGAGTCCATGGTCTGGAGCACAAGCAGATCAGCACTTAGCAGGTCCCGACTCCACTCTTCTTCTTCACAACCGATGGAAACATCTGACCTTTGCACAGACAAACAGCAGAGAAGGAGAAAGGCAAAGAAACAGTTAACGCTACAGCTTTTAGATGCATCCATGCCATTAACGCTGATAGCTTATCATTAGACTGAGATCATCCTGCAGCTTTATGCCGAGACTCAGGGCCACCGGATTGAAGCCGCATAGAGAACCGACTACAACACCCCCCCCGCCTCCCGGAAAGCCAACCTCGAGCCCCAGAGGACTCCCAGGCTCGCTTCCAGCAGCCCCCGGCCCCCAGCCCCGGGGTCTCACCGGGTGCAGGCACCGCCTGGCAGGCCGGCTACGGGCCGGGCCCGGGGCGGAGACGGCTCTCGCTCTGCTGGAGCTGCGGGCCGGACCGGCCGCGCTCCGCCAGTCCCGGAGTGCCGCGGAGGTGGAGGCAGCACCGCCCCGGCCCCGCCCGTTAAAGGGCCCGGCTCCCCCCGCCCACCTCCGCCGGCGTTACCCAACGGCTGCCGGCGGAAGCGGGCAGGCTGCGTTGCCCAAGGGTTACGGCAGCCTCGTACGGGGCCCGGTTTGACGGTAACCGCGGCGCAGCCCTCCCCTCCCCTTTCCCCGGGGGCTGGCTCGGCCGGGCGCGCCGCTGTGCACAGCCCCGCCGCGGGCGGCAGCCCCCGCCCCCGCCCTCCCGAAGCCCCTCGCTCCCCGCAGGCGGAGGGGAGCCGAGGGGATAAACGGCTAAAAAGCGGCGAGTCCTCGCCACCAGGGCTGGGCTCGTAGGGCACGGCCTGCCCCGGGGCTGCTGCCGCCGCCCGGCCCTGCGTTCTTACGGGAGCGATTCCGGTCAGTCGTTGCGGTGAGCAACGCGCTGCTGCCGCCGGGGCCGGTGGGACGCCGGGGCCGCGGCAGGCGGGAGGGCCGCAGGGGGCGGCCTGCCCCCCGGCCACCGTACCGCCCCTCGCGGCCGCCGTACCCGCGCGGGGCGGGGCGGCGAGCACGGGGCCCGCGCACGAGGGCCGACACGGAGCCCGCGAGGACGGCGCCCACGCCGCCCTCCCCTCACTCGCCAGCCAATCACCCGCCGGAAGAGCTCTGCGGGGCGGGGCCCAGAAGCGAGCTCTCCCATTGGCTGAGCCGCGCGTCGCTCACGGCCTGCCCCACTCCGCCCCTCACCTCAGCGGCCGGTGGAGGGTCCGGGTCCTTCCCGCCCCTGCCCCGCGGGCCCGGCTGGCAGCGACGCCGGGGGTCGCCGGGAGCCCCGCCGGGCCTCGGCCCGCTCAGCAGTCCCCGGGCTCCTTCCTCATCGCCCGCTAAGCCGCCGCCGCGCTCCTGGGCCGCGCCGGGGGGGTGCGGTAGGGTGGGAGGGGGCAAGAGAGAGGCGGTTCGCATGCGCACGGCGCCGCGAGGCT